GATACCCTCGCGGTTGCCCGACGGCCAAGTGGTGTTCCTGCTGCCGAGTCACTACGTCCAGTTGGCCGCGGCGGCGGCAGCCAACGGGATAAGCATCGGGCCGAACCCGCCCACGGCCATTTGGGCGGCGACCAACATGTCCCTGCTCAAAGCGACCGACAAGCTCATGAAGAGGCCGCTGTGCCCCACGGGCGAGGACCAACTGGCCCCCGACTGGCAGGACCAGGTCCAGTCCACGGGCCTCAAGCCCGGCAAGCTGTCGAGGCTCGAGTCCGAGCAGCCCCTCGACTTCACGACGAGCAGCGCCAAGAAGCTCAAGGCCGCGGCGGCGAGGTACGCGGCCCAACAGCAACAGCCCGAGTTGGCCACGGCTATGGTCAGTTACCCGGTCCCCGAGGACTCGTCCCACGGGGTCGTTGTGGCAGCGGCGAGCGAGCCCGTCAAGGAGGAGCCCAAGAAGCCCGAGTGCTCGCAGGTGCCCACGCCCACGAGGACTCCCTCGCCCGGGCTCTCGCAGCCGACCGTCAAGGACGAGGAGGGCATGTGGCGGCCCTGGTAAACCCGCCCGAGTCGACCCTCACCGCTTTTCCGATACTTGTACACATTAATTCATACACCCCTCCCCACCCCTACTTATATATATATATAATGTAGGCGTCATCTGTTATTACTTTTTTAAGTATATATACATATAACTACTCCCTTTTGTTACTTTTATTTATTTTACGTATTTTTAGCATTGGATTTTTTGATCGTGTTGTACAAAGTCGATGTGGCGCAAGGACACGGAAATAAATAAATAAATGTACCTTTACATACAATAACGAGTTGGGTCGGTCATCGGTTACGTTGAGCAAAAAACACTGCAAGAGATTTTTTTTTTTTTTTTTTCATCAAAATCGTGTAGCTATTGTTGAATCATATATATAAATATGAGTGCACATATAGTATAAACACACTATATACCTACACCCTCATATTATAATATGCGCATATAAATGTATGTGTATGTGTAGAGAGGCGCATATGAAAATACATCGAATAAGAAAAGAAGGCTGACAAATAAGTATTTCCATTGTTTCGCTACGTATACATAAATATAGATGATGTAGGAGAAATCGTTATCGATTAGAGATTGATTGGTTGCAACTTAAACAGCGAAAGCGTCTTCCTTTGTTGCGCGCACCTCCGAGATGTGCCTGCTCATCCGCAATATACTTTGTTTTTTGTTTTTTTTTTATTCCTACTTTCCGTATCACCTGTTATTCACTGTGCGTCAATGTTCTTATTCCCCCCCCCCCCAAGATTTTTGGCCATGTCGCAGCAACCCGATGTTATATCCCCTGACAAAACTGTGATCGAACAAGCAAAAATTGGTGGCTATAAATATAATACATAATAATAGAAGAATGTCGAGTTGCTGCTCGTGGCATGGCACTGTGGTGTGTACGTATGTAGAAGGTCGATAGTAAAAAAAAAAAAAAAAAAACGACTGCACTTACGCATGTATACACTGTAAGAAAGAGCACACGAGCACATTTAGCCAAGTGTGAGTATATAGCACGAAAGTTATGTTGTACAACTGCGAGCATCTTTTTTATTTTATTTTATTTTTTTTTTTTTGTTCGTCACTTCCCACGAGTATTACAAGCGATGGATATTTTATGGATTGTTTTCACGCACCTGTACATATGATACATACCTAGTGATAGCCCGAACGAAAAAAAAAATAAAACTCGCGCTATTGGAGTGTGTAATATTATAGGTATATGATGATATATACGAGTAACGTCGTGCATAGATTTATTTTAATGTTATCTAGATTTATATTCGAGAGATGATGCGGGGACGGCGTAGAATAAATGTAATATTATATACCAAGAGGAAAAAAAGGAAAAAAAAAAAAAAAAAAAAAAAATGAAAGAAGTTTATCACTGCGATTGTATAGACGCGCGTGCATTGTACGGGTAAACTCTCGACACTCGAAGCGACGAGAAAGTTAAGTTATAAGAGACAGATAAAAAAAAAAAAAAAAGAAAAGAGCGCGTTGTTTTTTTGTGATGCTGTGTGTGATAACGACATGTAGGTGCGTATATATATATTATGTAAATGTACTTACACTACGTATACACGATATATTATTATAAGTATATATATATATAAGATTGTACATTGTATACAATACCATATGAGGAAACGAGTAGTCATACATATATATATTATGTGGATGGTACATATAATAGGTACCTATACACGGGTGGAGTATTCGCGATGCAATTAATCCACCGGTTGTAACTGTGTCTGTAATTGCTAAACATGTTGCGATCGGATAGTGTAATATTGAATGTACTTAGTGACTCAGTCAATACACGGAAATATTAAAACCACGCAACTCTATTGGTCTGATGTGGACTGTGCTTATTATTCCTGAACCTATCCCACGAGTTAACATTGAACCCCCATTCTTTTTTTTTTTTTTTTTTTTAACCTATACGTATCCACGACTCGTAAAGAAAAATACTGCGACAAACAAGGCACGATAACGGAGCAACACCACGAGGATTTCTCAAAAACTGTAGCAAGCGGGCAAAAAGTCACCTGTACGGTGCGCAAGGTGGGAGAAAAAAAAGAAATCTCGGCTCTGCAAGATAAAAAAAAAAAAAAAATGAAAAAAGAAACAAGAGAGCGCAGCCCGCTCGTTACACAAAAGGGTAGGTATGCGCTATGGGCGAAGCAAAAAAATTATAGAGCGGCAAAGGTCGATGGGCAAACGGTCCTACCGGGCGTGGCGCAGACGCATAGCTACACACCTACGTAGCACATACATCATAATTACGCATCCTCATTTTCTCGGATTCAATAATATACGCAGGTAAAGGTATAGGTATATATATATATAAAAGTTGTATTCGCACTCTTCTTACTTAATGTACACGTAATAAGTGTAATATGCTCACGGCGCGCACCTCGTTTCATCGATTACAGGGCTGCGCTCGGGGGGGATGGGACCACAAGGGGGGGGGGCTGGTATACATGCAGAGAGGCGTATTACGTGCAGCTCGGCGTTAGTGTATATGTACGTGTATATATGAGTATGCTCACGTGCGTGGTCAGGGATAATTACGGTACACTGCAGCTATCGAGCTCCGGGCCCGCGCACCTGCGCCAATAAAACTCCCTCTGCCACCTACCGTCCGCCTAATTGACAAAGAAAGAAAAAAAAAAAAAAACCATAGTGTGGGTAATGATCGCGCGCGCGGTTCCTGTCGTGTTACACGCGCCCGTGAGCGTGTGCGGATGATTTTGCGGCTTGGATATTTTTTTGGTACGTATTCCGGTGCCCCTAACTAGCGTTTCTTGATATTTATTTTGGTTCTCGTATCAAGCGAGCTCGAGACGGGGGGTTTTTTTTTTTCTGGAGGGAGCGATTAACAGCATCGATTCCACGGAGGGATGAGGTGATTATAAATGAAACTAAGCGACGGTATGAAGGGCAATGAAAATCCAAGTGGCGAGATTGAGGTCGCGTCGAGGTGTCCGTGTGAAAACCAGCTCAAGATAACAAGTTAATACCTAACAATAAGAATGAAAAAAGAAGGAGGGGATGGATTCGTGTGTCGTTTCGAGGCGCGCCATTGCCGTAAGGGGCCATTAAATTGAATTCCGCGCACTCGGCGCGAGAGAGGGAAGGAACGAAAAAAAAAAAAAAAAAAAAGAGAAAAAGGGCGGGGTGCGGCTCGCGGGAACGGCAGACAGGCAGGTACTTAAAGTAGGAACATCCTCCTCGTCAAATTTGCGAACCCGCCAGTTAGCCGCGCCTCGTAATCACCCCTTCCCCCCACCTCCGTCTTTCCTCTACTTATACCACACGTATATATACCTATACACGAACTTTTATACTTGCACAGTGTGTTGCTCCCCCCCCCCATCGACCAAGTTTTTTACGACCACGCGAGCTACCGATGGGACCCGCTATTGCTTCTCGTTTCGTCTTCATCGGCACTGCTGATGGTACGTGCTCCGATATCCATGCCGATCGAACATACATCTGCATGCGCCTAATATGCGCGGAAAAATATATACACGCCGGCTTGTTAAAAATATTTTACGCCCGTGTACTTAAGATTTTCGAAGGGGATAAATTTTGCGGGTACATAAGTTTATTTCAAAGTGCTTCGCTTTGACACCACCGCTGCTGGGGAACTTTATTGTATACATGGGCCTTTTTTTTCCAAAGGGGAACGAGCCCATATACATTATATGCAGTGAAAGGTATTAAATATAAACATCGAATATGCCAATTAGCTCGGCCGGGGATAAATATGTCAATGCCGTCGAATCGAGCGAAGCCATCGAAACCTTATTGACTTTGATATTTCTTTATATGACTTGAAATATCATAGTGATGAGGTACAACTTGATTGATACAAACAAGAAATGGGGTTGTGCCGGAAACATGTATGATTTCAGGCCAAGTGCACTTGTCGCGTTCAAATGATAATTTAAGAGGAGCCTCCGTCTCGTTACCTGCATTTTTACCAAGCATGCACGTGACAAAATAAAAATAGTTCAAAACCTTCGAGATAAAACAAAATAAACATTTCCCTAAGTAACGCGACCGAGTACTCATATACCAAAAGCGATTTTTCACTCGTACATACATTGCCTGCACATAGGAAGATTAATAGGTTCGGCATCAGTTATGAGTACGCACACACCTATATATGTGTACGCGTCAAGCATACGTCGCTGGATGTATAGTTAAGTGGCCGGCAATTTATCTCGCCTTCCTCCAATACGTACATCTACTTACCATACTCGCTCGTGCGTGAGTATGTAGCGCTGCGGTGTACTCCGTCGGGGATGCACCTATATATATACGCTCTCGGTCTAACGAGAATCTCCTTAGGACCAGGGGCGTGCGCAAACGAAAAAGAAGAGAAAAATGAGCAACCGAAAGGGGGAGGCCCCGGAGTCCAAAATGATATCCTCAAAAAGCGTGTCCGTTGGCGTGTAAGTAGTCAGGGGGGGGGGATAATTGTCACGCGACGCTACCTGATTAGCGCTAAAGATCACAGGGCGCTCGGGGATAACTGGGATCGTAAAGCGAACAACCCGAGGAGGCACGATCGAGGCCTCTACCCGCCGATCATTATCATCATTGCACGAGCGTCGGCTGAGCTTTTGCCTGCATTTTGAGGGCCCTCATTACGCCACCCCACGTTTCTTGACCGCCTCGAGCGACACGTGTGCATATGTATATATAGAGGAAAGTGTGCCTCGTTCTGCAGTATCATTTCTACTCTTCGCTCCTTTCTAATCGTATTTTTTTTTTTTTTTTTTTCCTTTTTTTAATCCAGTCCCTTTAATTTTTTGGTTTTTGAAATACATATGTATACCTATGCACGTAGGGGCACGGTTGACCACCCTCAAACTGCACGTATATACAAAAAGTCCGAGGTTTTTTTGTTTTTTTTTTCTCCAACTTAACTATGACCTCGCGATCGAAGGCTGTACGCCGGGAGCCCCTTGCACGTTTGCTTGCGCAGTCGAACGAGCGGGGGCAAATATTGGCCGTGCGAATTTGCCGGAAGGGAGCGATCCAGGGGAGGGATCGGGAATAAAATAACCAACGGCCAACTGGAAGTAATCGAGTCTCGGCGGAAAGGGAAGCTCTGCTACTTACTACGACTTCATGAATCTTGTACGGCTCTGTACCTGCAATAATACGATCTATCGACCACGTATGCGCGCTTGCACAAGTTTTTTTTTTTTTTTTGTTTTTTTGTTTTTTTTCTCCTCGAACGATAATTCCTTTGTTCTCGGTTAACCAATGCATGGATCGGGGGAGAAGAGTGTGCCGATTATCTTGCTCGCAGTCTCTCCCCCAACCCCGCCTCGTCCTCGATGTCGCGTGCGTCGTCACTTCTATTCGGTCCATATATATATAGCATTTCAAGTTTGCGTAGCCTAAACTTGCGTGTGTCGACGACGTCTCGAGGCCCCGGGGTGTATATGCGAGAGCTGAAAGCATATATATTATGTACCAAAAGTCAATGGCTGAGCTACTATTTGGGTATACGTCTATCCCTGTCCTTTAAAGAGGATGTGGTGGCGACGCAGGGCTGAAATAAAAAAATAAAAATATATCTCACATCCAATAAGTACACTTATCCGATTCGATATTCTTTCGAAGGAATTTTCTCCCCATCAACAATTATTAGGTGTACCATTTTGTTACATATAAGCTCTTGTGTCGTACGTCGAGAGAGTCACGAAATCGAGCGTCGCTACTTTTCACAAGCATTAGCGGTTATACCAATCACAAGTCTTCTAGCATCACAGAATTCACGAGAAACGGGCATACATGCGCATACACGCGTGTAATGAAAACGTATTTGTAACGAGCTCGAAAATCAAGAGGTGCAGGTGCACGCTCTGATGCGACCACCCCTCCCCCCCCCCTCTTCACCAGACCCCTTGAAGCGGCATCTCAAAAGAACCAATGATGGAGCTCTACGCTTATTTTGCCTCCTTCTGCCGTGCACCAAAGTTGTCCTTTTAGCCGGGCTTCGGACGGATTTGCATTCGGTGCACGCGACGCGCCGAAAGGGTCGCTCCGGGGGGACTACCTCTCTAATGAAGAGATGCCCGCTCGCGCGACGATGGATGACATTACGCGCGTCTCGCACTCAAGCGATCATATTATCCCCCCCTTTCCCCACCTTTTTTTTCCGTGTAGCGTATACGCTTATTAACTAATGACGCGTACGCGTCGTTTACCTCGGATGGCCCGTAAGTTGCGTGGTAAGTATATCTCTTTTGGTTTTTGTTTTTTCTTTCGCGTAAATTAACATCTGTGGAGTAAACGCGTGCGATAAATTCAGCCACCTATAAAAATAAAAGAGAAAGGACAGC